CAGGCTGACGGGGCTGGGAGCTTGGGGCTGTGGGAACACATGCAAAAATCTTCAAGTCTGTCATGGACCTACCCGGTTCATGGTGACTTAGAACTTCCCATAGGCAACTTAGCATTCTGACAGCCTTACCCGTATTATTTTATTTAATCCTGAGTATGCCCCTATGATGGTTATCATGCCATTTAAGAGATGAGGAACTTGAAGCTTGGCTTTAGCTCTGGTAAAGAACTGGACCAGGTCACAAAGCTAGCAAGTGGCAGAATGAGGATTTGAACCAGTTTTATGCTTAACCAATAGGCCATAGCCTTGTTATTGTGTAGAGATGAATTCAGGGATGTGAGCACACACAGAAAGATATGTGGGGCTCTGCAGAAGGATGAGAAATCAAGGAAGACTTCCTAGAGGAGGAGACCATTGAGCTGGGACTTGAAATTTAGGGAAACCCACTGTGGGGACAGTGAGATTCTCCTTACTGGAGAGAGCTGATGAGTTGTAAACTGTGTTTAAATGGATGAGAGCCTTCTGGAATTAGGCATTTGGGTTCAATCATGGTTCTGTTACCTGCTGGCTGTGTGACTGTGGGTTAGCTACTTAAGTGCCCTGAATTCCTGTCTCTTCATCTGTAAAATTGGGTCATAATACTCAGTGCTGACACATGATGAATGTTAGGTATCGTTTTATAGGAATTGATAGTTAAGAGTCCACTATTAACTCAAGTCCTGTTAACAAGCAACCTGATTCAGATGGCACCCTGACTTTGGCTTCAGGGGCACATGGCAAGGTCCCATGAAAGCCTCTTTGGAGGCCCTCTTTATACACCTGAGGTGAGGAGGAAGCACCCTCACCTCTGTCCTTGGGAGCGGTGGTGAGACTCCCAGCACCTCCTGTTTTCCGATTTTCACTTCCTCCCATGGCTGCTTCCATTTAACTATTTTATACCGCTGAGTAAATGAGGGACCAAGGCAGTGACTTAGATTTTTGGGCAAGTGATTTACAAGTCCTCTGAGGCAACCAGTCTCTCTCCCGTTGAGGTTAAGTGTGTCATGCCAACAATGGTCTTGGCCTTCACCAGCACCGGGACCCAAGCACAGGGATCACTTGCTCTCCAAACTCAAGAATGTAAGCCATCAAGTTTTTGATAGTCTCCACGCACTCTGAAATTTTGCTATTTGCTACCGAGCATTCAGGAACCAAATGGAGGAGGATAAAGCAGCATCCTCACCATCTGAACTAAGTCTGAACTCACCTCACACAACTAAGGAGTAGGACAGATTACGTGTGGTTGAGGTTTGCAATGTGCTCGGCACGGGGAGCCTCGAGGACTGTCTGAGACGGCAGGTCTGGGGCCGTGTCTGGCCTGTAGCTGGCCTTCCTCTTTCCAGGGAACAAGGACGCGGAAGGTCAGGCGCCCCCTTCCTTCTGTGTTGTAGCAGTGATGGCAGAAAGACATTTATAAATTCGCCCACTGACCGTTTCCTCTGTTTCTCACAGTTGCCCTGGATACAGAGGTATTGCCATCAGCAGAAAAAAAACACTGTTTCCTTGCCATAGGGCTGGAGGAGGGAGGGTGTCCCGCTCCTGCAGAGGCAGCTCCCCGAGGCTCTGCGGCCACAGGCTCTCCCTGCGGACTCGAGGCATCTGTGATCCTAGCACATGAAGGCGGGAAGCCCTTCATTCTGCACAGCTCGCTGCTCCAACCCTTCCTTCCCATCCAACACATCGCTCTCACAGGATTAATTAAAAGGACAAGTATCTTTCTAAAAAGCAGAAGAAACTTGTGATGAATTTAAAGGGAGAGAAAAATCCTTTCTCAAGAAACATGTTTTCCCCATGATCCCAACCCAAACATTCAGAAAAGTGCAACAACATGCATTATTGAAAAGCTTTTTAAACGAGCAACTTTTAGGTTAGTTTATTGTGATGAACGGACAGGGCCAGTGCACAACGTGCTCGCCAAGGACCCTGGAGCCTGGGCCTCTGCCTCCCAGCAAGGAGAGGGGTCCTGTGTGTGCAGGGGAAGGGAGAGCAGCGGGCATGTGCCCTTAGTTCCAAGATCAGACTGTGGTCTAGAATGCCAAAAGCCACTTGAAGAGAATGTTTAGGTGATAGATGGAGGCCCCCCTTCTATGTCGCTGCTATCTGTGTACAGAGATGGGTGATCGGGAGGCTTCGCTCCATCGGACAATCAGAACTGACTCCCACGGCGGAGGAACCGGCCCTCTGCACCCCTCCCTGGGGCGGGGTCACCTGTTTTGCAGAGAGGAGGAGGGGGCACCCCACCATGAACCAGCCCAGCCGAGCACGGCAGCTGCTAGCTCGGGGTTCCTGGCAAAGCCCTTAGCCAGCTGCAGACAGCGGCAAACACTGGCTCAGCCTGAGCTAAGCCAGCTGCATGAGAAGACCTGATTAAGAACACCCCCTTCCCCTGTCCCCCCAAACTTAATAAAACCCACTTCGCAGGAAAAGGTTCTCCGAACCCATCCTTCAGTAGAGTGACCGAGTCTTGCCAGGAGTCACCCCACAGACCCTGTCCTTCCTGCCCAAGGACACTGGCAAAAAAAGCAAATATAATTTCCAAGTCTCCACCTTTGCCAGCCCATCAGCCCCAGGTTTTAAAATTAAATCCAAAATGTTGCCGAAATGTGTGAGATATTACTTTCGAGGTTTTAGTGAGGTTTCTTTAATGTCCACTGATGTCTGGGTAATAAGTTGTACCTATATGTCTCATTTCAATGACCTATTTAACAGTCACTGAACCATGAATCCATTCCCAGAGCTGTGGGGATTCAACGTTGAGTTCCTATGACTTTGAAAAACCACTGACGCCACAGGCTCCGCGTGGCCGCATGTCAGGCCTTTATGGCTGGGTTAACTCATTTTGTGGCTTCCTTAATGGCTGTGAGTTTACATTTTATTGCATATCTATTTTTTGGGGTTGGGCTATGATGAATGGTTTGGCTGCCTGGTTCAAAACAAGTCCAAGGCCATAGCAGAATCTAATTTTATAAAATGATGATTATAAAGATTTTCAAATAATCCAGGAATGAGGGAAATAGACCCCACATGGCTGAGCACAGCCAGAGGTGAGGCGATGACTTCCCTCCTTTTCCATAGGTAGCTCATGTTTATAACAACCTTCATTAGGGGACCCAGGGAGGCCTTCTCTCTTATCATGGGCAACCAGGACACTTGCGTTTCCTCCAGAGTAAAGCCAGTAGTTTGCTGTTTGGCCCTGCCTGATTCCCAGGAGCGGACCTCATGGAGCAGAGGCTTCTGTGGTGCTAGGAACCAGGATAGAGCTAAGCAGCGCCGTGCTCTGCTTAGTGACGTTATCCTGGGACATCTAGGAACTGATGCCTGGTGCAACCTCCAAGTCCTTGACATCAAGCCTTGGCCCCTGGCTCTGAAAATGCACTGACCCTTTCTTTCCTAGGATCTTCTGCCGAGGGGCCAGAGCCCAGAAAGCATTGGTGGGAATGTCTCAGAGCTGTCCCCAGGACACCAGCTACTGCTTTCCCGACCTGGAGGCCTGTCTCCCTGGCTTCTCTTCTTCTCTGAGTCCTGTTCTATGGGATTAGATCATCCCGGGGTCTCTGTCTGGGGAAGGTGGAGAGAATAGTGTGGGAGGGGGTGCTAAGGACAGGAAGGAGGGACTTGTCCAGTGATGGGCAGGTCAGTGCTTAGCAACTGGCTCCCCAGAGGGAAAAAACTCCCCCCACTTTTGTAGCATTCGTGTGGTATAAATTTCTGTGGTGTAAATACTCCCACCATGGCTGGTTTAAAGCTCTCAATTGTTTAAAGGCAAAATTCCTGAAAAATCTAGTAATTGGCTCTTGTGAGCTGGGCCTAGGGAGCTGCTGATGCTGCCACACATTCTAAAATTCAGAGATTTATTTCAAGGCATAAATGACTCTATCCACAAAGCGAACACCTCCCCCAGCCAGTGAAGCCTACCAGTCATTCACACCTCATTATGAACTAGTACACGTTGATATGAGTGTCAGGAGCGGGCAGGGGGGAGGATGATGGGGAACCGCGGCTCGTCACAGTGCATCCAGCAGAGCCCCGTAATTGGGGTTAGACTTTGAGCCGCGGCCACAGGGATGCTGGGAACTGGAAAGACACCCCCGTGTCAAGCTCACGGACAGGTCCCACGGGGGAGAACCATACTCCTTTCTCTCCTCAGAGCATGGGACTACCTCCGCCGTCTACCACAAGAGCCCCTCCTGCCAGCGAATCACCAGGCCTCCTTTCCACGTCTGGTGAACGTTCGCAGTAACACCATGCCTGGGATGTCAACGTGGAGTGGAATGCTTTTCTGGCAAGTGGAAGTCCATGTAAAGTTTGGGGTTGGGGGAGAGGATGTTAGGAGCTGTGGCTAGGAGTCCTCAGTGCACCCTGGCACTTTCACGCTTACTCCCCAAATCCCAGGGCCTGCTGTTAGGAGCGGGGAGCTTGCCAGGAATGCCCGACGGTGCCCCAGGCAGGATGCACTTACCACCTGCTTTAAGCAGGTGTTCTCTGACATAAAGGGGCTTCCTCTCCCGGGTTTGGTCTGGCAGCGCCTCCCCTCTCCTCACTGCTTAACTACACAAGGTCACTGCTGAAGCTCTCTGTTCCTGCCCGGCCAAGCCTCCAGAAGCCTCCTGCAGGATCTGCGCTCAGCGCCAGGTGGCAGCCTGGAAAAACCCCAAAAGCCCCTTCCTCCAGGCGCAGTCGTAGACCCCTCCCCATCCAGCGTGGGAGGCAGTTACCCTCCCCCCAGCCAGCCCCAAACGCACCTATATCACAGTCCTAGGCTCCTCTGACAACATCCAGAAGACCCTTTCTCCAAAGAGAGCAGAAGCAAGCGCTCCCTCTTCCCACCCATGCTCCTCCACCTTGTTCTCAAAGCTCAGGCTTGTTGCAAAACAAATTCAACTGCTTTCACGCGTAAAAGAAACCAGGGCTGGTGACAACCCAGACAGGCTCCAGAGCAGGACCCCACCCTGGTGACTTACGGAAGGCTGTGTAGAGCTCACGGAGGGTCAGGGAGCCATCACTGTTGTAGTCATCAAATCGGAGGAGGTCGCCGGGTGAGCACCCCAGGAAGTCATCTGCCAGATCCTGCTCCTTCAGCACCTGCTGAGGGGGAGGAAAGGGATGAGGCCAGAGCAGGCAGTAAGGGCAGGCCTATGGGCCTGGCTGGGAGACGGCTCAGGCCAAGAGGACCTGCGGTGGCCCCATGAGGGAGGGATGAGTGCTCCCGTGGTAGCTCTGTGGGCCATGGGGAGGACCCCAAGCTCTCTGGTTTTCTCTGTCCTGACCTTCTCATTCTAGAGATGAAACTCAGAGAGGGCAGGGACTTTCCCAAGGTCACACAGTGGTTGGGGCAGAGACATGATGGGCATTCAGGTATGTTTTCTCCCTATCTGGGTGGACAGACCCCAGATGCTCTCAGTTGGGCACAATCCTTGAAGACCCTGGTCTACCCCTTCATGCCACAGACGCGGAAACAGAGAAGAGAAGGGGCCTGATTAGATCAACTCAGCAAAGAAACAGCTGGTGAGCTCAGTGTGGGAACCAAGGAAAGGTCACTGTTGCATCAGTGCATGCCTGCCCATGCCCCTAGCCAGCCCTTCTGGATCTCAGGGCAGCACCTCGGAACTGTAGTGCCCCTCCTGCCGGAAGGGGGCAGCTGCCTTTCTACTGACTGGGCCTGTGTTCCCTGCCTTTGCCTGCCCCATCTGCCAGGGCCATAAACGTCTGCCCATGGGATTCTGGCATGGTGATATGGGTGCACCCTTGCGAACTTTTCTCTGGATGTGGTCTCCCCAGCACGCGCAGCCACATGCCAAAAGGTGACCCTATGTGGAAATTCCAGGCACCTTTGCTCAGTTGGAGCCAGAGGCTGGGTGTCTGGGGCTAAATTCTTACAAGGAAAATGCTCAGAATAAAATCTCAGAAGGAAGGAAATTATTTCATTTCATTTTGGTGGGGAAGGGGGACAGAGACATTTTCTCTCTATTTAACAGTCTCAGTTTGGCCTGCTATGTTAAAGGCAATTTAATGTGATAACGTTAAAAAAAATGACCCCTCACCCAGCAAGTAAGTGTTCAATAAAAGGGAGATCAACCATAACGCCAGAAATCAATCTTGCGGAGATGGAAATTTCCCCTTGTCTATTTCTGCATTGGAAATTGATTAACTTTTCATAGGACCGACACGTTTTTCCTTGATGCCTTTGATTCAGTGTCAGGGAAAGGCCCTTTTAGCTGGGCTTTGCTTGGCAGGCTTATGAAATGGACTTCAAATACATTAAATTTTAAAGAGGAAATCATAACCCAATTACCATGCTTGTTAATGGCTTTAGGTGCCTCTGGGCTCAACCCCACCAGGTTAGAGCAACTTGCCCAGGAAAGATCTACCTGTTGGCCACCTGGGAGCCCCATGGAGCTGGGTGGCAAGAGCCCACAGGTGCTTCTGTCTCAGACAAGCCAAAGTCACCTGTTCTTGGTGCTCCCGGTATAGTCTCTAGTGCAGAGACCTGCCAGATGGTTCTTCTCTCCGGTAACTGTAACTGACAGGGCCTGGGCTTTTCCCAGAATGGCATGGGTCATGTGTGGGTGGCTGGCCCTCCTCCTTGGGGTCTTCGCCATAGCTGGGAGTCAAGTATGCCTCCAGATGGTGGCATGGTGGCCGCCAGGGCTGGGATGGTGTGTGCCTGGGAGGCTGTGGGCAGTGGCCTCCGGGGAGGCAGGCTTTCAATGGACTGGCATGTGTAGCCCACTTGTGGATGAGCAGACCCCGAGAGTCTGTGGTTCCCAGTGCACATTCTGAAAGCAGGCTCTGGGCTGGCTGGAGTAGAGGGCTTTGAGAATAGGGCCCTGCGTGGCCAGGCCTCCAGGTGACTGCTCTGTACTCAGGTCTTGTGGGTACTTTCTGGCATCACAGACTTTGGGAGGACAGGGTGGAGCCTTCTGGTGGGAGCCATTCTCCCCCAGGGAGATCACTTTGCGGTGAGGAGAGCGGGTGCCCGTGTATCTGCCCCACCCCTGTCACCCCTGGCATCTTGTCTGAGCACCGTCACGTTCTTGGCAATGAACACAACTCGGGCAAGTTGCGTGCTTTCTTGGAGCCTTTAGTTTTTTTCTCACCTAAAATTATCTGCGCATTGAGGATAATGGCAGTGCCTCCTATAGCAGAGGACGGCCGAAAGGGTTGAGGAGGAAATACCAACAAAGACAATGATGGTGGCCTTGACCCCAGCATTCCCACCTCCTGAGTGTGCCACATCCCAGGCACCATGCAGAACACCTCAAGTGCCTTAGCTCCTTTAATTGGCCCACTGACCCTGGGACAGTCACAGGCAAGAAATGGAGGTGCACCGAGGTGAGGGGGTCTCCCAGCACCCGCTAGCTTGTCAACCCTGGAGGCAGGGCTTGAACTCAGGAAGCTTGACCAGAAAGTCTGTGTTCTTAGTGATTACACTACACAGTTAGGGACTCTTCTGTTTCCTATGTCATAAGTAAAGGGCCTTGTTTATTGCCACGCACATAGAGGATGCTCGGTAAATGCCAGGGCACTCGCCAGCCGTGTCCTTCCTACTGACCTGGCCACAGCTTTGCTCAGGTCACTGTGCCCCAGGAAGGATGTCTTTAAAGTGGCATCAAAGGTGGGGACTCATCCATAGTATCTATCCTTTGGGTGGGTATCCCATGGGCTCTGAGGAAGAGCTGCCCCCATCCCACCAGCCTACTTGGGGAAGCTGACCTCCCCCTCCTTGCATATCCTGGCACCTGCCTGGGGGTGGCTCCAGGCCATAAGGGGGAGACCAGCAGAGTGGGAGAAGGAAGGCAGGCCTCCCTGGCCTCCCTGGCCTGCCTGTCTGCTGGCCTCCTAATAAGGTCCTCCCTGTAGCAGGAGGGGGCTGGTGCCCCGGGCTCCTCCTTCTTCACTTTCTGCTGCAGAGGGTCACTGCTGCAGTGTCACCCCTGAGCTGGAGACGGGGACACGTGTGCTGTGCTTGGGGAGGGAGGCAGACTACCGGGTCTAATCCCAAGTCTGCTCAAATGGAAGAGCGCTTGGGTGGGGGAGTGGTACACAGGGCTTCCTGCCAGCAAGCAGGCTGGGTGTTGGGCTTTGGCTATCTGGACCCTACAGAATGACCAGGTCCTCGAGGAGAGGACTCGGGGCTGCCCAGGCGATAGCCCTCAGCTCCTGCTTCCTTTCAACGTCCTGCTAAGGCAGGCAGAGGACTCAAGGAAGAGGAGACTTATTTCCTAATGAGAACATCAGAGACCAGCCCCTCGGAAGTACGTCTTTTGCCAGCAAGCAGAGAGGGCGTCGAAGCTTGTTCGTCAATATTGGCTGAAGGTGGCTGCTGGGAAGAAGACACTGACATGGGTTTGTCTGTAAGATACTCTCAGAGGCACTGAACATGAGCTCTTGGACTCCCAGGGGAAGGGTGGCCCTGGCAGGAGGGAGGCCTGCTTAGCATCCTTTATAGAGATAGTTACAAGGGATTCTGCTCACACGGCTCTCCCTGGTTCTCCTTATCTGCACACCGAATGGAACAGCTCCCCAGTTCAGTGTTCCGCGCATGCTGGACCCACCTGCGCCAGCTCAGAGCTGCTGAGACGGCTGTCCCCGTCGGCATCCAAGTCCGTGAACAGAGATTCCACCAGCAGGCGCTTCTGGGAGGCAGGATCCTGTCTGCTGTCCCTGTCCGGGAGTGGCCGCCGGTGGGCCTGGAGCGCCAGAAGGACATTCTTCAGGCGGCCATAGTCAGCCATGGTGCATGGGTCATCTGGAAGAGATGAGGAGGTCACTGCCTTGAGGCTCCTCCACTGGTGGGGAGAGAATGTTCTCCACCCCGCCGGTGGGGAGTTCTCGGGCGTTTACTGTTGGCAGTGTGGGTGCACCTGAGGAGATGGGGCCTGTCTGTCCGTCTGCCTGATATTTGCTAAACACAGAACACATGCTGTATGTCCACACAGCTGGGAGCAGCCAGTCGGCTTGCCCCGCAGTATTTACTGAGCACCTACTATATGCCAGACCCAGGGCAACTGCCGGGTGCAGCGGGGAGGCTGGTCTGGGGGAATGCATCCCAGAGCTGTGTGGCCCACGGTAGTTTTAGGAAAGCTGGCCCCAGTTCCATTCTGTAATTGCTCGTCTTTGCCTTAATCCCACCTTAAAGGCTGCTTTGGAACACTTGGCCTCAGAGATGAGGGAATTTGAGTTAACAGGACTAATAAGCCCTGCTTAAGTTAATTAGGTATGTTCCCAGAGCTGTATTACTTCAAAATAAACATGTGTACACAATTCTATGACCACAACAAAAAAGGAAGCTTTAAGAAATGAAAACTGAGGCCTGCAGCCTGGGACACTTTGTGTTCTCCCCAGGCGTGTTTGCCCGGCGGCCGCAGAACCACGCGGGGTTTTGGCAAATGCGGCCCATGATGCCCTGTGACATGATGTAGTTGACCTTGCTGCTGATGGGCCAACTGGGGTGAACTCCATCCAGGGCTCAGTACATGGCTCAGTACATGAAGGCCCTCTAGGGCCTTCTCCCTACCCTCCTGGGGGAAGGAGCCTTTTTGGCTCTTGGCTTCACTGAGTCCTGGGGCACGGGCATGGGCTCCTTGCTCCCATCCCACTGAAGGCCCCTGGGCTGCTGGCTGGGGTGGGACTGGTGGGTCTGGGGCTCTTCCCCTACGTTCTAAGACCATTGGAGGGCACCAGGTAATAGCTAAGTGTTGGGGAGTCAAGAGGAAGCAGTGCTGGAGAGCACTGGCCCGAGAGCCTACGGCGTGTGAGTTTGGCTTTGCTGCAGCCTGAACGTGTACCTTGGACATGGTGCCTTGGTGATTTCATCTGTGAGTTGGGGACGACAGGGCCCTCCCCATGGGGTTCTTGCGGGGGTTAAATAAGATACGCACAGAGAGGGCTCTGCGCTGGCTCAGCACCATGTCAGGGCCTGTAAAATCATAGCTACTTTCTCTTTCCTGGTGACCAAAACTGCATTTGCTGAGGAGCAACAAACAAAGAAGCTACTTGGTAGGGAAAGGCTGGTGGGGGAGTCTGTCTGTCTGTCTCCCTTCCTCCCTCCCTCCCTCGACAAGCCTGGGAGGCCCAACCACTTTTTCTTGTGTTTGTGTTTCTAGATTTTCTTCTAATTTGGGGTCAATTGATTCTCGTCAGAAACAGATGTCTGTTACCATTTTCTCCTGCATGTTTATTTAGAAAAAAATCAATTGTTGTGTTCAATATAATCAAATTTATTTGCTCTCTGGGAGTCTCCATGCTGAGAAGAATGGCTCTCCCATAATCCTAACCTGGCTGATATCCCTCTTTGGCCTGGAGGGTTATCCATTCCTGGGAGCTATCAGGGCCACCGATGCGCAAACCCGTTTCTCACGTCCATAGAGGTGCACAGTGTTGAAGACACTGACCTTGTCCCATGATAAACCCACTCCTGCCCCAGGGGAGATGTGGTGGCCAGCTGGCTTTTTCTTCTTCCTTGGGGCCCGGATAAAAGTCATTTTGGGGTAAGGGGAAGAAGAGTTTGTCCCAGTATTTCCCCCAGCCCCCAGCAGAAGCCAGGATGCGATACAGGAGCAGCATGGCTAGGGAGGGAGGTTCCGATGGGAGGGCCCATGGGGACTGTGCAGAGCCGGGCTCCCTGAGGGAGGGGCAGGCTAGTAGGATGGGCAGATGCGTGTCCTTCCTCAGACCAGGACGGGGCACAGATCTCCCGCGAGCGGCCCGCGAGCGGCCCGCAGCCCAGGCAGGGCTCCTACGCTGGCAGACCAGGGAAGGCACTGAGGTGGGTCCATCAGGCAGGCTGCTGTCACCTCTCCAGGCTCTGCTCTGCTCCACAGCTTCCACCCCTACAGTTCCCTGTGAGTTCAGAGGCTCCTAGCTCCATCCCCCCACCACACCCCCGGCACTGCCCAGCACACAGCTCCCGGTTGGGAAGGTATGCACATGTCTAGAGATCAACCTGGAGGAAGAGGGTGGGGAGGGGCCAGCTCTCTGGGCCCCTGGCCTTACCCCCCTGCCAAGGCCCACACCCGCTGTGCTTTTGCCAGCATTTACTTTCAGATCTGTGCCTGGTGCCGGTGGCACATTGGGACACAACCCACGGAGCTTCCCGTCCTGGACGTCAGAGGTGCCCCCAGAGGGGCAGCTCAGGAGGCTGCGCTGGAGGCAGCCTCCCTTGGGGAGGGCTTCCAGCATAAGCCCCGAAGGATGAAGGATAGGGCGGGAAGACCACGCAGCAGGGAGAACACCTGCAGAAGCAAGCAGCGTAGTGGCTGGAGAAAGCTGGTGTGGAGGGGGAATGAGACAAGGCTGGAGGGAATGGTGGGGTAAGGTGGGATGCCAGGTACTTCCTTTGTCCCTTTGTCCTTACTGAAGGCCCTCACCATGACTGGAGTGCCTGGAGATGAACCAGGGGGCTCCTGGAAGGGAATCCTAAATCCTTCTTTGTCCCAGAAGCAGTTGCACGTTCCATTAATCTCAGCCTCAAATAATGAAGCCATTGGCCAGGGTTCCTTAGGTCCTCTAGTGTCCCTACGGCTCTGGGGAGCCACGAACACCGGAGGGAAGATATCCAATGGTGGCATTTCTGTACCCACGGAGTTGCCTATTTTAGTCGAAGTCCCAACCCTCTCACTGGGACACCCTTTGATGCTTCTAGCTCCACCAAGGATGGTCCTCTGGCAAGCTCTCCCCACCTGAGGCAGGCCTTGGTTTCCAGGGTGCAGAGCCGCCTAGCAAGGCCCCTATGAGTGACAGCTTACCAAGTTCCAGTTTGTTTTTTCCTTCCCGTCCCCTGGTGTCACCATGGGAGCAGATGGGAGGGGCTCCTCGAGGGGGAACCATGGGCATTTGTGGATCTGCTAGGTCTGGCCTTCAGCTAAAGTCTGTCCGTGCTGCTGCCAGTTGGAAACAGTTGTCTTATAGAAAGAAATATGTGTCCATCAAAGAATGTTTGGAAAGCACAGATGAATATAAAGAAAGAAAAGTCCTCCCAGTGCTTGGCATGGGCCGGAGCAGAGCCCTCTGCGCCAGGGATGCTGAGCCCCTGGCTGGCCCTCATCTGCCTCACAGGGCCTGAGGCCTGGCCCAGGCAACCTCTGCTTTCTGATCTTCCTCCTTCCCTTACTCAGCTTGGACAAGAGAGTGTCAATACTCCAGGGTTGGGTTCTTATCTTTAGCCGGGTCACCCCTGACCCCCACCCAGCAAGCCCACACAGGGCATGTGAAGAGGTGGGCATGTGGAAGGACAGACCAGCCACCAGAGCATGCTCCTGCCCATGGCTCGGCGTTCACGCCCCCTCCATCTGGAATGCTCTTCACCCAAATCTCTAAGGGTCTTACCCTTCACTCTCCTGGCCCCTGATGAGACATCACTGCTTCTAGCATCTCTGCCCCTATTTGGGGTGGGCCTGGGTCCCAGGGGGTGAGAGGGATCACCTGTCTCTGAAGTAAGGCAGAGCCCAGGCTTTATCTTTGGCCCTCTAGACCCTCGGCCCTTTGGAAGGAAGGTCCCTGGAGGGGGCACGGCAGAGGCCTGAGGACCCCAACCCTCTCCCAAGGTCCCTGTGTTTGCTGACTGTGATGATGGTGAGAATCGCAAAGGCCAGTCCTTCCTGGGAGCCCTGCATGAGGGCCGGTTCCTGCTGCCTGTGCAGGTCAGCCTGCAGTACAATTCAACTTCCCCACTAACCGATCCACAGCTCCTAGGACTTCCGGAGAGAACTCTGGAGAGCAGGATGCTTGCACGCAATGTTGGGGTCTGGGCCTGAGCCAGCTCAGCAGGGGCTGCCGAGCAGGGTTCCTGCTCAGCAGAGCTGGGATGTGGAGGGGACCTGTTGTATGCACGAGTGGGATGGACACAGTTTGCCCACAGACATTTCTCTCCATATGCTGGGAAAGTCACTTAAATGTTTCCTCTTAGTCTTGGTGGTTTCCAGGTAAAGAGAGGTTTGTGTCACCAATAAGGGTGGCCTTGGCTGGGTCAAAGACCATCATGAGGCTTGGAGAGTTCCAGGGAGGTCTCCTCCTCTAGACCCATAAGCTCACTGAGCTCTGACCACAGCCCAGGCACACCTGTCTTGGGGCCTTCTCGCAGACTTTCTCCCCCCACCTTCTTTCTGCTTTCTTTGGGGCCCAGCTCAGCCTCCTCTGTGGGGAAGCCTTGCTCCTCCCCTTGCGCACACAGGACGGCCTCCCTACCTCCGGCTCTCTACTCTCAGCTCAGTGCGGATCGCCTTTTGTGAGGCCTGTCCTCTTAGGTTGGGATCTGGGCTCCTGCAGAGCAGCCCATGGGGCAAGGACCTAGACTGAGTAGTATGCTTAGAGATGACCCTAAGAAATGCATGGAGGAAGAGGGAAATGAAATCAGAGAGGGGGAAAGTCAACAAGGGGTGGGATGATGACACTGTGGGCAGCTAGAGCTTGGTGCCATGAAACCTTCAAGAGACTGTGTCCAACAGGCCTCCGAGCCGCTCCACTCAGGTGTGAGGGTGCGGGGCACTCTTCTGCCAATATCCGTTCCTTGCTGGCCAAGGATTGCTTCAGGCGCACTACCCAGCAACCCATCCAGTGCTTCTGAACTCCCCACATGAGGACTGAGCACACTCCTGAGGCTTGCAGGGCCCTGAGGATGAAGATGTGGGGATCTGAGGTTGGATGCTGTCGGTCAGGGTCATGGGTAGTTGTCCCCCAAAGCCACACGCAACCTCGGGGGTTGGCTGAGGGAATCTGGATGGGGTGTTAGCATCTGTCATATCCCCCCCA